ATTTATTTTTTTACCTACCTATATAGTGTATATACCCGCGAAGGGGTGTCATTTGACACCCTTCATATAAGGAGGCTCCGCCACCGGCTATACTATCTAGATTAAAATCAACTCGTTAATTGTAATCACAAACACGTTGGCGGGTTAGTGATGGGATGACTATGATTGTTCCACTCTTAACAAGAGGTGTTGCGTTCGAGCTTTGAATAAAAGTGTTTAAAAAGTAAAAGTATATTTTCTCAATTAGCTAAAGCTTTTAGATGAATTGGTTACAAATTTCAATATAGTATGGTAGCCAAACTTTGGTAAGTTGGTTTGCACAACCGTTTTCTCTAATCGTTATTTTATAAACTCCTAAAAAAATAAACTCTTAAATAATAAAGTCTAGACTTAATTTGAAATTAAATCACATATTACTCCAAAAAAAATAAGATTTGAAATTGGATACAAACTTTTGTAACTTTCGAAGCATGCAACTTGTTTACTTTATCTACCCAATACTCTCTTTAACTTTTTAGACAAAATACAGAAGCAAAAGCTTCTTTTAAGCCCATGCTGATTCTCTTAGTAGAAGATACAACAACTTCTGAGAATAAAAACAAGTAAATAGTAAAGCATATGGAAACTTGTATAGAATATAATGTGCTTAATTTGAATCTTGTTTCAGAGACTTCTACTGTTGACATTTCAATATTTTTGCTTTTTGAGGAGTGGGAGAGTACTTTAAAGCTGAAGATAGTACCCACAGAAAACTAGTAAAATTTTTTGGGGAAAAGAAACACATTAAAAACACAAAATTGTCCTGAAAGCCTATTTTCTTTTGGAAGTGAAGCTAAAGTTAGAATAAATTGTCAGTAAGTTGAGTCATACTAAAGTGTCCTTTATAGCTTATACTTTACTTCATTTTAGTAAAATACTTTCCACTAGTATTTTTACTAGGCATCTAACGGTCTTTTTTTTTTGGGGTTAATATATAGAAGAACATTTCTCACCTCTGTTGGAAAGTGACAATTACACAAAGTACCAATCACAAAAGAGTGCTATTTTCTTTTGTATTTTATTAACTTCGATAGTCATATTACGCCAAAGGAAATTAAAACTAACTACTCATAATCAGTAAAATTTAGTAACTTGAAAATCAAGTAAATGACTTGGAAAGTGACAATTACACAAAGTTCCAATCATAGAAGAGTGCTATTTTCTTTTGTATTTTACTAACTTCGGTTATTAGGCGAGCGGTTAGCCTTGATAGGCAGCAGGAGGGGTAGAGGTAGGCCTGAGAAGCCTTGGGAAGAGTTTATTAGGCGGGATATGGCGCAGCTGGAGGTGACTGAGGACATGACCCTAGACAGGAGGTTGTGGAGGTCAAAGATTAGGGTAGAAAGTTCGTAGGTAGTCGAGCGTTTCTCTTTGTCTTACTCAGTCCGCTAGCATTAGTGTTAGTATGATATCTTTTATTCATAGATGACTATTACTACTTAGAGTTTGACTGCGTTCTTGGTTTCGATCTTATTTCATTATGCTGTTATTCCTACTTGTTGCAATTACCTTTTCTTTTTCAGTCGTTCTCTAGCCGATGGTCTATCGGAAACAGCCTCTCTGCCCTTCCAGGGGTAGGGGTAAGGCTGCGTACATCTTACCTTCCCCAGACCCCATTTGTGAGAAACTACTTGGATTGTTGTTGTTGTTGTATTTTATTTACTTCGATAGTGTAAAAAATTTTACATATCATATTACGCCAAAGGAAATTAAAAGTAACTACTCATAAATTTAGTAAGTTGAAAATTTAGTAAATAACTTCTTGCATCAAGTTAAATTGCATTAATTAATTGCGTATGAATTCATTTACACTAAGGAAGAATATAATATAAATAAATACATAAATGGGGAAATTCTGTAGTGTGATTGTCAATTCTTTACCTGCCGTGAAATGTAGAAGTGTCTAATAATTGAAATTGCACTATCTTTGCGTATCACTGATGCAGGGTACAGTTATATGATCTAATGCCATAATAGCAGCCCCACTATCTAATTAGTTTTGTTTCAACTAGAACTTTTGTCATATCAAACTTTATGATTTAGTTTGTACCAGTTGATCTTTTGTGTACTATTTTGAACGTATAAAAAGTCTACTTGAGTGAATATCAGCCTTTACTTTTATTTCATTTCTTGAATCTTTTTAATAGTGGTAAACTCTGGATAAATGCATGAAATTAAAGATTTGAATCAAATTTCATGCAAGGGAAAAGGGTCAAATTTGTCCCTCTACTTTCATAAATTATCCACGTTTGTCCCTAGTTCTACTATCCGTTCAAATACGTCCCCACCGTTAAGAAAGTAGATAAATTTGTCCCTAACCCTAACAGAGTTCCAACGTGGCAGCGGGACCCTTCTTTTTAACTGCCAACTAGGCAAATTTTCAATCCAAATTAAAAAGACCCATTTCTATTATCTAACCCGTGATTCGCTCAGTCTCTGTTACCACCGACGAAGACCTCAAAAATATGATTGAAGAATACGACCAGGTCACAAAACGTTACGGGTCGTTTTTAGAAAGTTCGAAGAATTAGAGAATTGTTCGTACACACGTTGAATAACAGGGGAAATTCGGGCTCTACAACAACTACAAATGTGTTTTCTGAATCTTCCGCCATAAATTGTCTTCTAGGTATTGACGATGATGTGAACTGTAATCTAAAGGGTGAAAAAATGTGAAATTAATTGCTCAAGATGTTCAACCGGTGCCAGATTCTCCGATGGTTGAAACGACATCGTTTTTGGGTCGACTAATTCCACGCAGTCGCTTGCTAATTTGCCAAAGATAAAGGTACTCGTGGAGGAGAATAATCCGAGGGTTGGGTTTGAAGAACATTTTTCACAGTTAGGGGTTGGAGACAGCAAAGTGGATTCGTCTTCATCGCCGGCACCGGATGCTCTGGTTTCCGGAGCTGTGTTTTCCAGTGTGCCGGTAGTGGTTGGTGGGGATTATGGGAGTCGTGTTTTTCCGGATGATGAGAGATCGAAATAGTATTGGTTATTGGAATATTGCTCAAACACAACTATGATAGCAACCTCCACAATTGCAGCAGCCAAGCCTTTTTCCTTCTCATTTGCCTCCCCCCAATTCAGTTTCTAGGTAAACAAATATAGCTAAAGAAACGGGTCAAATAATAGAAATGGGTCTTTTTAATTTGGGCTAAAAATTTGCCTAGTTGGCAGTTAAAAAGAAGGGTCCCGCTGCCACGTAGGAATTCTGTTAGGATTAGGGATGAATTTGTCTACTTTCTTAACGGTAGGGATGTATTTGGACGGATAATAGAACTAGGGACAAACGTGAATAATTTACTAAAGTAGAGGGATAAATCTAACCTTTTTCCCTTCATGCAATTGTCAAGTATAGTACTTTAGCAAATACTGTAAGACGTGCTGTATTGCTTGAGATGCATGTGGCATTCTACATTCATTAGGATTGCCAAGAAAACGTGAACGAACTTAGCACGCCTTAGTGGATTCAGAATTAAAACTTCATCGATTCAATTCTTAAAATTATTAGCGCTAAACTCATTGTATTTGATAATTATGAATTTGGAATTTAATATTTGTTGGAATATTATTAATTTTTCATTTGCACATTTATATATGTTCAGTATCATGACTGATGAAAAATTATGTGATCACATTCAACTCTAGTCCTAAAAAGGATAAGCGGACGTTGGAAATATAATCCGGTCTAAGAGTCTGGAGTGTAATCCCATAGAGAACTAAGGTTTAACTACAACTGTTCACTATCACCAACAAGACAAGCTCGAACAATTCCTAAGTTATAAAGATTAAGATTCTTATTCTAACTAATTAACTAACATATTAAAGTAGTAAATTAACAACTAAAGATAATAAGGGCTAGAGACAAGATTAAGAAGGCCTAGAGTTATGCTTTCACTAATTGTCTGAATCATTCCCGCTATGACTCATATAATTTTGCCTAAGTATTCTCTACTAATCATGAGCACTTCAGGTATTATAATTCTCTCCCGAGAAACTAAAATAATTTATTAGATATATTCTCCCGAACTACACTAGCTGGCACTATTTTACCGCTCACTATGACCATGTCAAGTTTTTGTTATTCCTAAATTCATCTTTAAACCCGCTGTGTTGATTTCTCACATACGTTAGGAGTGACGTTGTTCAATAACCACCTAATATATACCCTTTCCTAAGCAATACATAATAAATAGGCACAGTCAATTGATGGTCATCCTATCAACACCAATAAACATATAATTCAATAAGTAGAGAAATCCAACGGCTCAATCATATAAAAAGATACAAGAATTTATCCTACAAAAGGTTCCATCAAAACCCTAGGTAACAAATTAGCTATTCATAATAACATGTAAAATAACAATTCTAAAATTCATAACCAATAAAGGAAAATTAGAAGAAGAAACAAAAAACTTGTTGCTGAATCTTCTGTCTTGCTCCTTGCGTGTTCTTCCTCTCCAAAGTCTTCTCTAACCCAAAAGTAGTATCTCTCCCTCCAAAGTTGTGCTAACACTATGTTTAAGAGTGTATTTATATGACCTAGGTAGGATGGAGGGTCGTCCAATACAATCCAAAATCGGATAGGAGAACTAGAGGGCGCGTCAACTTTCGCGCAGCGCGCGACCATAGACCATCTCCCAGCTCTTTTAATTTTTGTTCCGCGAAGCGATCCATGCCTTTACCATACTTCACTGTTTTGCATCGAAGCTGTCTCATCTGGCGCGTCTGCCCTCGCGCGAGGCACGTGCATAGATGCTCCAAATTTTGCTACCTCACTTCTGTTTTGCGATGATTCCTTTTCTTTTACTCTACTTTCATCCGAACTCGTTCTTACACATAAGAAACACAGAATGAGCATATTTCACTTCAAAAACCATGTAATTTCCCTCAACTCACATGACAAATGAGATCAAGACACACTCAAAACATACACTTATGGTCATTTATCATTGTGTCCGCCTCTGTTAAATGTACCTTCGTTGCTAGAAATGACTAGAAATGATGTTATCATAACATAAAGTAAAAGCATTGTGATTTAATGGAAGTCAGAGTCAAAATATTGGAATGTAAAAGTAATACTAGCTAATTTCATTTACTAGACATTAATACTACTATCCAACAAATTCCAAAAGTTTTCTACCCTCAATTTTGGCTCACTTCCATGACAACACAATCCCATAAATGTATAAGAACATGTCAATAGGAAATGAGACAAATTGTCCATTAAAACATTGGAATTTTCTACTTATACACATTATCATAATAACTATACTTAATAAATTTACAAAAAATATTTTAGCTTAATAATATAAGAAGGGAAGCCTTGAAGACGACAATGTTATTTCTACGTAAATTATATAAGTCTTGGGTTTTAGGGTGGAGGTAGACTGCATACATTACATTCCATGTGAGTAGTCCGTGCGTGAACACGAGATGACTCATCCTGACCATACTTCCCCTATTTTAGCTGAACATCAGTAATATCAAACCAAATTTGCTTGAAAACCTTGATGATAAGATCATGATACTGATCTGAATTCAACGAAAGATAACAAACAAGAAGTTGTTCTAAATCTTTAGATGTTCTTATGTTATTCTCTACTATCATCTCCACCATTGATTCTTTAAAATCTCTCTGTGGATCTTTAGATGATTTCACCACTGCAAAGCTTTCACCAACACTTGTTTTTTTACTTGAAGATACACTTTTTCTGCTTACAATTCTTGGAGATTTTGTTCTCAGCTTAACCCCACCATTTGATGAACTAACTGAAACTCTTCTCTTTGGACTTGTATTAGTACACTGTTCTTCTTTCACTATCTTCACTGTTAAAGATTTATGCTCTGTGTTTTCTTGCCTTTTCTTGGTACCATTTGTTGAATCTTGAAGTTTTTTCGGCTTGGTCAAAATTGGAGGAAGATCAACAGAGTCAAACTCATTGTGGATTTTGCAATGACAAGATGCAGACAGAATCATGGAATCTTGTTCAGAAGAAAAATTAGAAGAAGATGAAAAAGGGGAATTAGGGAAATCCTCAGGAGTAGTGGAATTGTCTTTTGTAAAAACAGATTCAAGAGAAGCACGGCAATTGCAGCCTGCTGAGACAGTTGAATTAACAAACCTAGGAGAAATTGATTTCCTAGTAGTGTTCCTCTTTTTCTTGGAGGATTTTTTTGGTGGCTCTGAGATATTAATGTTGTTGGGAGTTGGATTATTCTTAGGACTAAGGTTTCTTGAAAAGTAATAGGATTTTCTTTGGCATGACAAGTTGTTGTTATGGTTTTGTTGAAGATTTGATGATTTTGAGGAAAATATTGAAGATGATGATGATGTTTGGCTTTTGCTTTTATTTTTGCTATTGGTACTCATGTCCTTGAGCTTGTAAAACCAAGCATTTGGTACCATATCTGATAATCTAAACCTATAATTACCCATTTTTCTTTGCAATGTCTACTGCTTCTCTCTGTATTGAAGGTGACTACACTATATTGGAGTGAGCAAAGGAGGATAAATAGAGTGAGTGAGGTGTAGGCAGGGGGATGGTTGTGACTTGTGATAGAGAGGAACAAAATATTTAAGTTAGTAGTTGTGTATTATCTATGTACACGTTATACTAATTTATAGGGTAGACATGACAAACGAGTGGTTGTGTTAAATTTTGAGCGGGTCAAAACCGATTTAAATCAACAAATGAATCATGATTCTAACTCATCAAAAGTAGGTAAGTAAGATAGATCAAATAACATGTAATAACCCAACTCGTTTAATATGACTCAACATTTCCTCCCTTATATTTGCTTCTTTTTTTAGAAAAAAAAATGTGAAAGCAATATTTTTCTTAAATTACTAACTTAAGTACATCCAAATTACATAATTCTAGATGTCCAAATTTGAATTTATATGTTTGGATTTAGGTCGCATTTTGACCCCTTGGGTTATAATATTTGACATATCAAATAGTTTGATGAATTATTTCGTATTTAACCGATTATCAAATCAATAACTGAATCATAATCCAATTCATTTAAACTTAAATGGATAACATAAATAATAAAAATGAGTTGATTTTGCCAAATTTAAACCGTGGATGACTAAATATATTTTCTTAAAATTTATTTAACCATGTTGATAGACAGTCTAAAGTTTTGCCTCGTCTTACTACTAGTAGTAGTACTAGTCGGGTACCTTCCGATTCCTAGTCCCTTGTTTATATACAGTATGTCAGTATTAGTAGTAGGTTTGACACTATTCTTGTGGTTTCATATTCTTGGATCTCTATAGTTATTTGTTGTATTATTTGCTTACATTGTTGTTGCTATTGTTTTTCTATTGCTCCATTTTTTACGTTCTTGAGTCGAGGGTCTTTCGAAAACAGTCTCTCTACCTTCATAGGTAGGGATAAAATCTGCATATACACTACTCTTTCCAGATCTCATTTGTGGGATTCCACTGAATTGTTGTTGTGTTGTTATTTAACCATATATCCATCAAGTCAAAAATAGAGCATGCAACCAAACGTGCATCCGTCCATGTTAATAGGGTCCACAAACAAAGAAAATGTGTCAATAAAACATACTATAGAATACGGCCAAAATATTGAGAGGGTGTGGATGATTTTTCCTACTTGCTCTTTATTTAATATTATGCCGAATGGCCAAATCATCACCTTGTCAAAGTTAAAGAAAAAGTTTGGTTTTTCCTCATTATTATGTTTGTGTATAAATTGTAAAATATGGTTCCTATCCCTAAAGATTCTCCCCTTGTCTTCGGCTGACTTTCAAGACCATAACGAACAATTTGGCTTTAGTTTATTTGGGAAGTAATTTATAGACTAGCCACTTTTTAGATAGGTACTTTTGATTTAAAAATAAAATAAAATACTATGACGGTGTTATGAATTTCAAATTTAAACAAGTGAAAAAATAAGAAACTGTTATGAAGTGTCGCATTTTTAAATTGGAATTCATAACACCGTCATGAGTTTTAAAGATTGGCTGTTTTTTAATGACTCTGATATGTCTATTTTACAATTACAAGCCAAGAAAATGGCTATTTTGAACTTTACCCAACCCAAGATTTTCACTAGTTTTATACTATGTACCGTACAATTCTAGTTCTTCAATTACTTTATCCAAGTAGAAAAGTTCACATATTATGAACTCTGACCAAGGAAATTACTAAAGTTGAACATGTGCTGTTTTATTTTTAATATTTTTATTTTGGTGATTGAAGCAGTGTTCTTCGTACACCACCATCCATTGACTTAATTTATGTTTAAATGAGTCGCGTAATAAACTAATTAATACATAGTGCAATTATCACATGTTTACTCGTATTTAATTTGATTGAGAAATGGAAGTTTGGTTTCGTATAGCTTCCTTATTAAAATAACACAACCAAGATCTCACCGTGGACACAACCTCTTGCGAAAATACAAAATAATGTTGTGCACAATAGACCTAACTAGGTTCGGCCTTTCCCTAATCCCGCGTATAAATAGAAGTTCTGTTAGTTCCATCTTCAAAAGGTTCAAAAACTTCAAACTAAAAACTGTAACACAACACTCATAGATCTAGCTTAACCATCTGAATATAATGCAAGAGACTATTTGCGTACGAGTAAAATCGGAGATAATGCCTTCCCCGATTTTTCGATAAAAGAACGAACGAGAAGCACAAACGAAGTATAACTTCTTGACCTCGGGAACTCCTCATGCTGAGACTCAGGGAAAATCGAACAATGTATCTTGGATCAGACACGCAAAGCAATGTACCCCGGATCAAGTACGACTTCTGGACCTCGGGAAACGAGATTGATGGTTATGCATAATGGATAGGGGCCCGTAATTTTCTCCCTCAACCGAAATACGGCGTGAATCCTGTTGGTATCAATCATGGATCAACAATAGCTGGGAAAATCAGATTTTTACCTTTTTTAGACTTGTATTAAGGCTGGAATTCTCCTGCTATATATAAAAAGAATTCTTTAGTCTGACACACTGTAACACGTAATTCAAGGCAATACAAAGTTTTCTTTTAACCTCTAGCTAATGTTCAAAGCATCGCTTGTTTGTTCTGTTCTTTACTCACGATCGAGCTTGTACCGAGGGTCCGACCGAGGACGAACTCCATTGTCTAATCTATGAACGGGATTGGTCATCATATTGCAATTGGTTTGATCGTTTATTTTATCTTTAATTCATCTATCTGTTATTCTTGTTGATTTGTATTGAATTAAACCATGTATCCTTTAAACCACGTACAAATTCAATTGTTACCCATTTTTTAGGTAAACAGTTTGACGCTCACCGTAGGGCTAAGGATAAGAGTGGTGACTTGGTACGAATCTCCATAACACACCTATTTTACGCTTGTTCTTTGAAATCTTAATTCCATGTCAGCCTAAAAATGTCAAACTCTTGGTCCGCTCACTTGAACGTTGACACTGAGTCTGGCCATCACGAAGAAAATAAAAATGTGGTACTAAGTAATGATGTGCTTCCTGTTGACCGCGACAGTGTCCCAGCCGCTGATCCGGTCAATGCTTACTCACAGGCGGCCATCAACATCAATTTGCCAACTGATCCCGAAAATAGTATTCGGGGAGGGGGGGGGGGGGAGGGGGGACCTCGACCAACAACTCAAGGAGCGCCCGAAGGTGAAGGTGACGAGGTGAGCCTACGACTGATTTTCAAAATAAGGCTCAATAAGAGGCAGTAGTACAGCTATATAATCAAAGCCATGCCCCAATAGGGTCGGACCTGGACAATCCCGGACAGTATTCGAAGAGACGAACAAACTACCAGAGATCGGGTGAAGCCGAGCGTGGTGTAACTTTAGAGGTAATAAAGATGCTCGAAGCATTGACAAAACGGGTAGAGTCAGGCGAGAAAAATATTGAGGCCAATGAAAAAAGGTGGAAACATACAACCCCAAGGTCGATCAGATCCCGGGAGCGCCCCCGATATTGAAGGGACCAGACTCCAAAAAATTTATCCAGAAGCCCTTCCCTCCGAGCGCGGCACCGAAGCCGATCCCGAAGAGGTTTCGTATGCCCGATACTCCCAAACATAATGGGACCATAGATCCAAATGAGAACGTAACCTCCTATACATGCGCGATCAAAGGGAACGATTTGGAAGATGACGAAACTGAGTCAGTGTTGCTGAAAAAGTTTGGGGAAACTTTGTCCAAGGGAGCAATGATATGGTATCACAACTTGCCTCCAAATTCGATTGACTCGTTTGCTATGCTTGCAGATGCTTTCGTAAAGGCCCATGCCGGAGCCATCAAGGTCGAGACCAGATAGTCATATATTTTCAAGGTCAAACAAAGGGATAACGAAATGCTCAGGGAATTTGTGTCAAGATTCCAGATGGAGCGGATAGACCTGCCACCAGTTGCAGAAAATTGGGCCGTTCAGGCATTCACTCAGGGGATTAACCCCCAAAGTTTTGTGGCATCTCAACAGTTAAAACAAAATTTGGTAGAGTACCCGGCGGTAACCTGGGCCGACGTCCATAATAGATACTAGTCGAAGATAGGGGTCGAGGACGACAAACTCGAGGACCCTTTTGGATCTGTTTATCCTATCAAGATCGATGATAGGTCTAAGAAAGCTACTGATCAGGAGCCAAGACCGGCCCGAGATCGGCATCCACCGTACAACTCAGATCGTAGGGGAACCGGATCCGGGTATCAGTCAGTAAGTAACGAGAAGAGAAACGATAGAGGGCCTAGTGGCCGGGGCTTGATGAGCAAGAACGTTTACTACATGTCACTCGGGAGTAGTGAGGCACCAAGATTATCGACATGTCACCCCGACCATTGTGGTCCGACCCAGCCTAGAGAGATCCTAGCTTGATGTGTAAGCATCACGGAACTCACGGTCATAAGATCAAAGATTGTCGACAGCTAAGAGAAGAAGTTACTCGACTGTTCAATAATGGGCACCTCCAAGAATTCCTCAGTAAGCGAGCCAAAACCCACTTCAAAAATAGGGACGCCAACAAATAGGTCGAACAAGAGGAACTTCATCACGTGATCAACATGATCATCGAGGGAGTCGAAGTCCCCCAAGGGCCAATGATAAAATGCACTAAAGTATCTATTACAAGGGAAAAACTCCCCTGGGATTATGTTCTGTAGGGAGCTATTTCATTCAGCGATGAAGATGCTGAAGGCATCATACAGCCTCACAATGATGCTCTAGTAACATATGTACTTATCAATAGATTTCGGGTTAAACGTGTGCTGATTGATCCAGGTAGCTCGGCCATCATCATCAGATCAAGGGTCATAGAGCAATTGGGGTTACAGGATCAAATCATATCGACAGTACGGGTATTGAATGGATTTAATATGGCATGTCAGACCACAAAAGGAGAGATAACTTTGCCGGTAAACATTGCCGAGATGATCCCAGAAACGAAGTTCCATGTGATCGAAGGGGATATGATGTACAACGCTTTATTCGGAAGGCCATGGGTCCACAACATGAGGGCGGTACCTTCAACCTTAGACCAGGTGCTGAAATTTCCCACACTGGGGGGAAGTCAAAACAGTCTATGGAGAACAACGGGCCGCA